CTGGTTTTCACAGTCCACTGCTCACGAGTAAAGCTTGGCGTTGGGCGGGACTTGTGAGCCCTGTGGGTCTCTGACAGTTGCCCTGCTTGTGCTCGTGCAGAGGTTTTGCCTGTAAAGTAAGAGCATCCGTCTGGAAGGTAGTTACAGTAAATGAAGGTCCATATCGAAATCAGCCCAGCACCTTTTCCAAAATATGATGCACAGGTCATCTATATTAAGGTGATGGAATTAGGGCACCGGTGGTGGGACATGGCACGTGTATTCTGGTAAACTTCCCCCAGACGACACTGGGTGTTAAGTGCTTGATTAGAATTACAGCTTTTAAGATGTCAAGAGGTTGAGGCTTCAACCTCAGTAATCAAATATAAGCACCTTAAAACCATGTGGGCTCTGGCTTCTATTTTGATTTTTTTAAGTTTTTTCTTAATTATAGAACATCATATTGTGAGCTGTAGTGAGTGCATGGGGGATATGAGTGGTAATGTGAGGTTGTTAGCGGATGGAGGGACCCCAAAACTAGGAAGCCCACCGAAGTGTGGGTTCTTGCCACTGACTGTGAAAGAATTCGCACATCAGAGACAGAGGGACGAAGTGAGCAGCCTCTTTAATGTCCAGAAGGGGAAAGGGAAGGAAAGTGCTTGAGGAAGGAAAACGCGCTCAAGCCGGACGCCGGGCGGCAGGGACGGGTCAGGGTCACGCCATGGGGACTTCTATGAGAGGCTTCCATCATCGTCATGTGCTCCTTCTGAGTGTGATGGAGCCAATCAGTCCTTGTTTGAGCTTTTTGGTCTTTGTATGAGCTTTTCTGGTGGTTGTCATGGCAATCGTCAACTGTCCTGTGCTGGTGAGTGTGTCACTTAGATGCTAGTACCTTACAAAGAGCGTATAACAAGGGTCAAGTTCAACTGGACATCAGATCCTCCACCATCTTGGAGTCTGCCGGGTTCTAGCCAGTTCTTGTTTCTTCCCTGCAGCTGCCTCCTGAGACTTAGATAAGAGTAAGTAATATCCATTTGAAGGAGAGGCAGGGGTATGATCCTGAGGGCAGTAGCCTTGGTAGCAAAAAGAAAAGTTGCTTTTAACCAGAACGCTTGCCATCTGGTGGGCTCAGCATCCCCCGCCAAAAAAAAAAAACTCCAAAGATTCTGTTCAGCCATGAAAGTTTTAAAGAGAAATAAGGGAATAATCTCAGTTAACAGTTGAGACAGGAGGTCAGAGTCGTCACCATCCCCCAGTGCCTGCAGGCTTGTCCTCATCAACGGCCTGAGCCTGGTCTTCTGTGGCTCAGGGAGGCCGGGAGACTTCAGCTCTTCTATGAACAAGAAGCAGGGGTTGAGACAAGGAGTGGGGGACAACAGAGTCCTGTTCCTTTTCAAGGTTATTGTAGAAGGTATTGTGGCATTACGCATCAAAATGCTTAAAATATTTATATAACACTTTGACTCACTAATTTTACTTTGACAAGTATATTTCTAGGTTATGATCATACATGTGATAATAAATTACTTTTCAATAATAACAGAATGGTAGAGCCTCTGTGTTTTAGTCAAGGCAATGATCTCTTCTAGAATATACCCAATTTCTTTGTCTTATAGAAATAACAGCTGACATTACATTATATTATATTTATCTTTGTAATCTTTTTGTAATTCCTTGGAAAAAGGATATTTTTAAAGTGAATGAAGATTAAACCCACACCTGACTCTGTAGATAAAGACGTTACATGTCAATTGTTGGTTGATATATTTTCTTTCGCAGAAGTTTATCATGACTATTTTATTTTTTAATTAAAAAAAAGACCCCTCATTTTTAAAAACGAATACCTGCTGTGAGGTTTGAAGTAAACTAGTGGTATATATTTTCTCTCTTGCATATATCACTTGTACAAATCTGGACCTAGCAATAAATTCTCGTGGAAGCTTGAATGAATCATATGTTAAGGCTGTGTTACTCTCCAAGCAATCACTGAATTGAGCCAACATTTCTGTTTGATTATTTGTTTTTTAATTAGCCTGGTTGATATATTGACAACAACCTCCCGCTTCTCTGAAATGGCTTAGTGAGCTCATTTGGTTTTTATCTTAGAAGTTAAAAATTTCCACAATTATGTAGGGATTAATTAGGTAGTGTTTTTTTTTTAATTAAAAATTTGCTGTTGATTTTTGGGTAGCGCAGGAGAGCTCTTAGCTGCTTGAGGCCACATCCAGAATGGCAGTGAAATTACATTTGCCTGAAGGATTGCAATTTGGGTACGTATGTGTCTTCTTGCTGGTTTGGGAGTTTATGAGCAATGAGACAAAGAAGAGGATGAGAGCAAAGTAACCCTGCCAAGTATTCAGTTCTGTTTTGGTTTTTAGAATCCCACTTCATTTATTTTTTATTTTTTATTGAGGTCTAGTCGATTTGCAATGTTGTATTCATTTCTGGCTTATAGCATAGTGATTCATATATATATTCCTTTTCAAATTCTTTTTCATTATCGTCCCTTACATGGTATTGAATACAGTTCCCTGCGCTGTACAGTAGGACCGTGTTGTTTATCTATTTTATATATAGTGGTTAGTATCTGTAAATCCTGAACTCCCAGTTTATCCCTCCCTATCCCCCTTCCCCCACCCTCAATAATAGTAAGTTTGCCAAATCTTGTTTTAATTATTTTTTACATCTGGTCTAAATATTTATTTGAATAACGTTTTCTGACATTTTGAAATGAACATGAAAGCATGTAACTCAGCAAAAAGTATCAAATTCCTACATTGTGCTTAGGTGGGAAATAATCCTGAAACACAGATACCACACACACACACATCAGACACATCACACACACAAATCACACACATCCCATGCATCACACACAGAACACACGCTATCTCAGAGGCAGGGGCTGGCTGACACGGGACCTAAGACTGAATGTCATTTTTGTGGCTGCTTGAAGCAGAAGTGGCTGGGATGCTGCTGATGGTGTTACAGCTGACCGTGATTATCTCCATTCTAATAACCATGTTTACAAATACATAACTTGAATTTTGGGGGTTTTCTCCGTTTTTAAAAACAGCATCCTACAAACACACACATCAATAGAGTTAAAATAAACATAAAGTACTACATCCATTCTTCACATGAAATTCTGTATGGTATTTGAAGCCACATTAACTTATATTTATGAGTTATAAAAATACATACTTGTGCACCGCTTCTCTTGTATGAAAAGCATAAATGTTTTCTTCATACTTGCACAGTGTTAAAAACTAACATAGAATGATTGCCTCTTTCATACAGTTAAACATTTGTTTTCTCAGATGTGAAGGTATAAAACATACCTATACATTTGTTATATTCTCGAATATGCCATATATGTCTATAGCAGGACAAACAATCTATTAATTTGTATGCGTGATCATTTTTGCTCAATATTGTAATTTTTGGAAGTAAATTTTATAAGGTAGTGTAATTCAGCATGAAAGATAATTCTGAGATTTTATTATGTTTTTATATAGCATCAATCAATAAGCTGAGGATAGGACATTCACAGCTGTCCATGTACAGTTTTACAGAGTTTTAAAAATTAGCATGAACTCAGTTCTTTAAGGTTAAGTAACACAGAAGATGATCTCAATTTCTCCTCAAAGTACTTTGGGTCCTTCACCCCTATTGTCCTTCTAAGAAAGATCTAGAGAAAGTACCAAAGATAAGGATGTGGGAAAATATGGCTTAGTGATGAAATGTAGTAAATTAGAAAAAACAGAATGACCTCAAAACAAAGAGTCAAATATTCAAATATTGTGAATAATTGAGATATTACTGATATCTTTATAATACAAATTAAATTGCAGGAACGTATGCTTAGTTGGAACCAAGAGATTCTTTTTAAAATCATGACTGCAAATAAAAATATTTGGCCTCTAACATGAGCCTAACATATTTGTACGCAGTGCTCTTAGGAAAGAAAGTTAAACAGCATCATCTTCAAATTATAAATCACGCAAGCTTGGATTTTAATGCGCTTCTGAATACCACAACACAGCAGCCAAACACAGCAACGCTACGGTGAAGACGTTATGGTAGCAAAGCCTCCTATTTGTGCGTCATCATAAAATAATGTTTACATTGAGATTTGAATTTTATTATGTGGTTTTATTTACACCTTGAGTTATAACATTAATAATACTAGGGTAAATCCAGTCTAGCCTGATTTGATTTTCCAAAAACTTTGTTTTTATACATATTTGCATAATTTCTAGCAAACAGTAATCACCATAATTCAGCTCTCTGTAACTTCCTCTAACCATGTCATTCATAATTGCAGAAAATAGGAATTAAACCTTTCTAGAAGCTCAATAGCATAATACTCTTTGCTGTTCCAAGAAAAGGTAGCAGGTGTGGCAATGGGCACCATTCATTTGTC